CCAAGCATGACACAGTAGATGTGAATTATTGTTTCTTCTTTTATTTTTTTTTACATTGAAATTGTCTCTTTTCTCTCAAATATTCAAAAACGAAATCACAATCAGATAAAATGAAAATTTATTCAACATGAAACACTGATCAAGATGATCTGCGTAACAGAGAATCAGTTGTTGGTTTTTTTTCTTAAACATTGTAAGATCATCTTTTTCCTATTGTGCACACACATACACGCACACACACACACACGGCAAAAATTATTCGAAGAAAATCATGCAGTGAATGAATATTAATTAATTAATTAAATTAATTTCAACTGAACACTTTTGAATGTGTATGTGTGTGTTGTAGAGTGCGAAAACAAAACGACTCGAATATCTATGTATATACACGCAGATATATATTACAATTAATAGGGATTATGGTAGATAATTAGTTATGATTACCTAGTTCACTTGCGTGGGACAACAACCACCCATCAGCGTCACCATCGATTATGTTTTACTACAACTCCGACTGATTAAAATGTAACTAGTTAGATGGTATAACAAACATTTGTGTACATAGATTGATACATATATACATACAACTACAAGCACAATAATATCAAGTTACTAGAAGCAACCAAGGCATTCAAAATGCAAAAAGCCAAACTCCCTTTAATAAACAATCAGTTATATATCAGGAATAATATGATTGGCCAACAGATAAGACACGAATCAGAAGTGATCTATGCTACCGAGGTTGCGTGTGTGTGTGTGTGCCTGTGTCAAACCCTGCAAACACTTTATAAAATATTATATCAAAAACAACTTAAATTTCTCTGAAGTAAAAATATTTATCTGTCAAGAATTAGGAGCGATGACTTAATATAGCCTAAAATATTCACTTCTCAATCAAAATAGGTGACAAGTTCAAACTTTGTGCTTCAGTTACATAAACAAAGCTCAAACCAACAGGGAATGATTTCGACCTATTGATATCATTTCTTGATTTGTTCGCTTTTAACTTATTTCTAACTCACATTAACTAAGATTGTACATCAACATAGGTAGGTCAGTCAGTCAGTTACAACGTGGGACTTCGTACGTACGTATATCAGTTTAAGTTGCCGTACCACATCAGTAAAGAGATGCAATTGTAACTTCAAATCACATAGTAGTAGAGGTAGTAGAAGGAATAGCAGTAATCGGAGAGATTAGAGTTCGACGATATTATTCAAAAAGTATACACTCCGCCTGCAGACCCTCCTACTTCTTTCAATATAATCGATTATTTGATAGTTTTACATGACATTTTTTTATTGAATACATTTTTACTGTTTAAAATGAATTTATTGACAAGAAGACACTAAATTGATACAAGTTATAGACAGAGATCAGATATACTGGATGTTATTCATAATAATAATCATTATTATTATCTTAACCGTATAAATATTTTTCTTATTACGATAAACATATGATTGAATATAATATATATATATAGATTTATATGGCAGAATACAAGCAATTGCCGTGAAAAAAATCAATTACTGATTGAAATAATCTCCTAATAGACAGTTAGTTAGCCTTCCACAATGACCCATGTAAATAGACTGAATTTATCTATACCGCGTTCCTCCCACAAAAGAACTGCAAACGACTCGAATTCACCCATAAAAAACTATCTAATTGATGTTGCATTAGTAATGTATACATAAGTTACAGTGAAAATTCCCAAAAGCATGTGACAATCACGATAGCTTAACCAAGGCTTAATAGAATAAAATATTTAATTGTAGATATTAAAGGAAACTATGTAGTATTACAGTTGGCTGTTACTATGGAGATATGGTACATTGGATGGAGTATTATTTTCAATTACTATATGTATTACTGAAATCATGAATCAATCATTGTTAGACTATCATTAAAAATCTGGAAGCATTGGACGGCCGTTCCGCACTAGCATGAGACTCATCTGCAGTGCGCATTCACAACTCCTGCACCTCGCAGGATCCGAACCCAGGACCTTCGGTCTTGCGCGCGAACGCCTAACGGCTGGACCACTGGGCAGGTATCCAACAGTGTTGATGTCTAACTTTGATCAGTCTAGGGATTTTGTGCGACCCCACCCATTTTTCTTCGGTTGTTCCTGCATACACGAATCTAGTGACTAGTGAGCATGTGGTGGTCAATGTATCACTAGTCTCGTGACGGTCAGTATCCAACGTGTTCCTAGATTTCATAATTTACTCGTCCAGACAATCGTTACTAAGTAGCGTCTGACAGTTTAAACCATAAGGTGAACACGAAGTGTTGAATACGCTTATTTTTGACACACCACAAAATGGACTAGCAGACCAAAAGCATGCAGAGCGGGGCAAGCACACTAGAGAGTAATTGGCGAGTCAGTGAATGAATTAATACGGTTAAAATGTTCGTACATATACATAGGAAAATATCGAGTCAGCGAGATATTCAAGAGATTAACATCAAAGCGAATAGGACAAATATGCGCATAGGCGTAAGCCATGTTCAGTCGTACCAGTTCATACAAACCAGGCAATAGTAAAAACCAATGGTACATATAAGTTGTTGCTATACAAATGGCTTGGTTAAATAAGTTGGTCAAAAGGCTTAACAAAATTAAATATAAGCGAACTCAAATGTATGTGGAAGCACTACAAGCACATTGTACGATTTTCCATTATAGAGTTATGGAGATTGTTCTTTATTACTGAAATCATGAATCAATCACTGTTAAACTACCATTAGAAATCTGGAAGCACTGAACGGCCATTTCGTCCTGGTATGCGACTACTCATCAACAGCGCGCACCGACGGCTGATTCATAATTTCAGTAATAAACAACAGTTCCCACAACTCTAAAATAAGAAATCATTATATGTATATCATGCCCATCTTTGCTTTGGGCACTCGGATATAGTATAAACCGTCCTCATATACAGGCGAGTATATAAAACGTGTAACAAAAGAAACTGGGAAGTATTCAACCGATTGTACAAAACGGAAGCATACTTTAACAGGATTCCCAAAGGCAGTAGTGTGTACAGGCTTTAAGTCTGCTCATCTATTGTGGTACACAAAAAATGAACAGTCTAAATGAAAGCAACCTGTTTCAAATAGTGCTTGTGATATATAACATTACAAACACAGACCAAACTGTATTATTCTACTTAAAATTAGAAAACTACTGTTGCTGAATGACAAAAAAAGATAATAATAATAATAATAATAACAATAGTTCAATCTTTTCAAACCAAATAGGTGTTAAAAGGTAATCCCACTTTATGCGCGTACACACAAACTAATCTATAAAACTACCTTACGTATATATATATATACACACACACACAGAAAAACAGTCGAGAATGCAATCCAACATGAATTTTAATAATAAATACAAGTGTAAAAACCAACGAAAAGGATAGTAACGACAACAAAATAGGGACAATTCATTACACTTTAAAATACAATTAATATTTCGTTAATCAACCCTCAAATGGAACAACTCATGCACGCACGCACGCACACACACACACATACACGTACAATTAAAACAGCTGTTTTAAATTTAGCTAGTTTTTTTTTTCTTTTGAAAAAAAAATTCACTTAATAATAAAAATCATGACAATGGACAAACAAATTCACTTAGATTTCAATCATGACAATATTGAAAAAAGGAATAAAAAAAATGAAAATAGAAATGCAAAGTGTTTGGTAACACTACTACTGCTGTTGTTACTACCACTAGTAGTAGTAGTTAACAAAAATATTTGCACAAAATTGTTTGTTGTTAAGTTCTAACTAGCTAGCTAGCTAGCTTCTTTACACTTAGGCAAATCTTGTTCACAACATAAGTTGATCTTTATTTTAGAAAAACAAAAAAGGTCTCAATGGGGGAAAAAATACAGTAGAGGTGACATGCAACAACACAACAATGTAGTATGTAGTTTTTTTTCTCTTTAATTAATCGTGAATGAATAGTTAAAAGGTAAGGTTGCACATTTGATACAATGGAACAAAATACCTATATAGTATGTATATTTGTGGATAATGATGATGAGTCACAGTAATTCACACTACACATATGAAAGAGATTTTCATGTAAGCGCTAAAATTGTTAACGCTTTAATATAATCACATCAAACAGTCGCGGGTCATTGAAAATGTAGGATAACACAGTACAGAATGTACCTATTGGTTCCGCTAGTGTTCTGTCCTTCAAAACTCTTTGGCTCGATTGTGAATCTTTGATTGTTTTGTATAAAAGAACACTGATGTTGTTCAAAATGGCAATAAAAAAATTCACAATCAAACAGCAAAACTCTGAGAACAACATTATCATGTATGTGTTATTTTCAGTTACAGCACAGTAGTACAGTAACAGAAGAGAATACAGCAAAAAGAGTATAAATGATTGTACCAATAATTGTAGCAAAAATGAAACCTAAAAAACCAGTTTATCAGAAGAAATGTTCGAAATAAGAGGGGGAATATAGGGAATGGTACAAATGAATGCATCTCCCTTGTGATTGATTTTGATTTGTATTACCTAAAAGTTCCCCAACTACCTGGAATTCGATCATCACGTGAGACTCACAACAAAAAAACCTACATTTCGACAGTTGATCAAGATTTATATGTAAATGTGGCGTAGCAAGCAGGTCAATGGACAAACATTAATTAGTTTGCAAAATTCAGTCATTTAAAATAATCGCAATAATAATAATAATACATAAGGGGAACTGTAACATCAATCAATATAAGATGATTTTCCTTAGCAAGTAGTATATATTCACAAACACTTTCATAATTTACAAAATGTCCGACAAAATTTATGATACAATGTAAGAGTAACAAAACAAATTGTGACATAACAAAGGAAAAAGAGCAAATCAATAAACTTTTAATTTCACATTATTTTTGACAAAAAATAAAAATAAACATGCCTTTTAAAGAAGAAGACGAAATAAAAACAGCAACTAATCACTTACCTGTGAAGTGAGTAGTTTTGATGTGGCTGAGGTGCACACAGGAATCAATTGCACTGGGTCATCATTACGTCCTAGATAAAAAGTGAATTGTGTTATTTAGAGTGAGAGATTGAACAAAAAAGTAATCATACTAACATATTCTTACTTATTGACTTAAAATACAATACAATACAAACTATGTTAGAAATTCAATTGATGAAATTATGATTTTCAAAAAGGATAGAAGAGTATAAACAAAGTTACATTGGGCGGCCAAACCAAAACATGAAACAAATCCATGAAGTTACTGACAACCGAATTTAGTCATGTTGGTAATTGCAGACTACCTGGTTTGGGTCCGCGAGACAATAGTATCGGACGATTAGAGACTTTGAATGATATTGTTCACAATAGTTTGGAATGGAGCAGGTGCATCCATTCTTTGACTTCTCTCAAATCCTAATCGTCTGAATTAGTCATCACCTCTCTCTTCCTCCTTCTACATTTCACTAAATCATACTTTTTGAATTGCATCTTCGAACCCTAATCTTCTCCATTACCAGTGATACTTCTACTATCTCTAACACTATGGGATTCGAACTGACAGTTGCGTCTCTGTGCTAATTAGGTTTCGTAACCTTAACTTATGTACGTACGTACGAAGCTCTACGTTGTAACTGACTGACTGACTGGCTTAATCATATAATTTTAGAAAATAAACAGTTTATATTGATATTCATGAGGTGAAATTGAATTCATTAAGACAAAAATAAAATAATAATTTGAATGCAGTCGTTGGACTTGTATGTTGCAAACAACCAAATTGAGGTACACTGGCTGTATAAATATACAAACACTGGAAAAAACAGTTTCTGATGATATGATGAAGTACACAATGAACATGTACAACAAAATTTTAAAATTATGTATTTCAAAAACAACATGCTTTCTGATTTGATCAATGAAAATGATGATTAATCTATCAGAAATTAGATCTTTTTTCTCATTTTACGATGAATGCAATATTTTATTACAATAAATGATGTGATATGATAATGTAGTCTATACTACTCGCAATGTGGCTTGTGAGTAGTACTGTGAAGCCGGAGTGTCACCCTTACAGTTACTGCCGAAACAAACAGTATCTGATCTGGGTGTATGGAGCGATCGAAGTGTTTTAACCGTTTGAACTTACCATTTTTATTTATGACACAACTGTAATTTTTGAGATGAAAATTACTTTTCTCAGCAAAGACAGTTTTCATTATGATCGTAAATAGGTGGATTTAAAAGATTAAAGAAATTAATGCTACAGGTAACTCCGCCAGTAGAACCTTCGGGGCTACTGACGGTCCCAAGCCCGGATAAAGGAGGAAGGTTGGGCATGAGGTTGGCGACCCCATCGCGTCAAAAACTAACTTGCCAAAAATACGCTAACGAATGCTACATGTAAAACATCCGAATTCTATAAGTAAACATATTCTTTGTATAATAATAATAATAATACCTGGAATTTAACAATTTCTGCGAAAATCACAATCAAACTCTTTTTTTTTATCAATTAAACTTAACAAAACTAATATGAAATCAGACGAAATAATTGTTAAAATTTCAAGTTATATTCAAAAGATCAGTGTGTTTTATAATTGAAAAAAGAACAAACTTACTCTGTAAAGAGAAAAAAAACCAAAACGAACATGGTAGTAAAAGAATGGAACAAGAGAATAAGAGAAAAGAAGTAAACACGCACACGCACACACACACACAAGATAAATAAAATAACTCATTGCTAACATCATCAACAACAACAACAACGAAAAAGCACCAATGCAATAACACATAAATCTGGAAATGAAATAATAGCATAAAAAGGATTATTTTTTCCGTCTATCAAAAATACACCAAGCACACAGTGTTTCTTCTTTTTTCAAAAAACAATAACAATCACCGAGTTGGAGGTCCCCCCCCCTCCCCATATGGAATTTTCATACAAAAAAATATTAAAGAAAATTTCAAAACTTTCTATATTTCACTAAACATGAAATCATGGATAGAAGAAAGTAAAAAGACGGACGGATGGATGAATGAAAAAAGAAAAAAACACAGAGTAAATAAACACTAATGCAAAGGCATATTCATCATCATCGTCATATTATTATTATTGATAAAAATGATATTGAAAATTGATGTTTCACTAACAGCTGATCTAAAACTATATCTGGTGTCTGTCGACTAACTTTAGTTTTGATCAACATGTGTATGCTGAAGGCATCATCATCATCAAAATCATCAAAAAGTATGACAAAATTTATCAGATAAGCAAAATAATAAATTTAAAAAAAAACAACCGTAAACTAGGAACTTTTCATGCGTACATAGTTTGAATAATGAATGACGAGTTTACCAGATGAGATATGTTTGATGTATTCAAGAACAGTATTACCAGTCATATATAATACACATATAATATATACAAGCGCAATAGTGTATTGCATATCTGTCCATAATTAGATGGAAAATAAATACGGTAACACAGGAAGAAGTAAGAGATTTATTTGTGTATTATTCCTAGTGTTGAAGAAAATTGCAGTGTGCACAAATCAACTAGTGTTGAAATTAAGATTGAACTATTAAAAACTACTTTATTTTATAAACAGTGGTACAACTTGGTGCACTGATTGGTACAATGGTATAAGTTGGTACCTTGAAGGGAAAAAATATAGAAAGTGGAATTTTACAGAAAAGTTATGATATAAACCGTAGCTGCTACCTTGTCGTGGTGGTCGGGCTTGCCTATCGTGATGATCCAACTGAGCTATATTGGCTGGAATATGTGTTTCTGTAGGTTCCGCCATACCAGGCAGGCAGGCAGGTCGATTGGAGGACGATGAGACTAAAAGCAGCTACTCAAGATCTGAGGGAGAAGTCGTACTGCTAACTGTAGAAGGGTGTGACAGCTGTAAGGTGTTTCCCTAGGAGAACCACAATCTGCAGCGATGCTGATTTCTCACAAGGAACGAAGGGGTTAGAAAAGATCGACACTTCATCTTACCCCACGGATTTCCATCTCCAGAGGTAAGGCCATTTAAAGAATGGAGCTAACACTTCCGAAACATCTCATAAAAAGGCCGTGTGTGACCGGTGCTTCTCTCTCACAGTAGACTATTGCTGATGATGTCTGGCCAACGAATCCGAAGTATCTTGCGTATACATCTGTTAATAAATACTTGTATCTTCTGGATGATGGCTTTCGTAGTTCTCCAACTTTCTGCTCCATACAGTAGGGCTGTCTTGACATTTGTATTGAAAATTCTGACTTTTATATTGGTTGATAGTTGTTTTGAGTTCCAGATGTTCTTCAATTTTAGAAATGTTGCCTTTGCTCTGCCGATCCATGCCTTCACATCTACATCAAATCCACCTTGCTGATTGCAATTACTCACTACATATTTCTTAAACAGACTAACTTAAAGAGATTAAAGTGTTTGGTTATGGTCCAGAAACAAAGTTCATTGAAATAGAACTGTAGCTATCCTTCGCATGCTTAATCATATAAACTATCTTTGTGAAATAATGATATGTGCACCATGAAGACCGGATTCCACTAGGTCATTGCTATAGGTAAACGCTCAATAGAAGTGGTTGTGCTTAAGATCACAATCAAAAAACTTGATCCCTCAAACTATAAGAGTTAAGATTGAAGGGCCCAGTCGCAAAATTTGCGCTAGCCCAAGTTAATATACATAACAAGAACAAGCAAATAAAACTAACAATAAAGGAGTTTAAATACTAGTATCGTCAATGACTGTGAAAGTATAGTTCACGGACAACAGGGTTAAAAATGTTTGCATGAAGAAACACTGAAAACTTAACATTTAAAGAATGAATGGACTTTTACCACTGAGACTGATTCTGAACCATGTCGGTCAATATCTCCGACCACTGATTGTTGTTACCGTACTGGAGTGATGGCCTAGTGGTTAAGGCGTCCAACTTTCAGCTGTTAGGTCCAAGATTCGAACCCCACCCTACCTAAATTGGTTTGAGCAACCGGGTAGTATCAGCAGCACTCATACTAAGTGTGGCTTATAAGCAAACACCTGGTGAATGATCCTAATCCGGATAGTTTGTACATTCAACATAACTCAATCAAACAGTCAATAATTTCATGCATTAATACCATGTCTCACTTGATAGGACAACTTAGTCTGTAAACATTAGACAGATCACTGGAGCAATGAATGGAAGATTAACATATAAAATGTTGTATGAAGAAAGTTAGGGAAACAAAGGATCATAAATAGATTAGTATGCAATGTTTCACGATAACAAATCTAACCAGTAGAACACGTACAGAGGTCAAATGTACACAGATAAGTTTATTTGCCGAGTGAAAAACCATATTCAGTCAGTCAGTTACAATGTAGGACTTGGTACGTAAGTTCAAGTTATCATACCGCATTACCACAAAGACGCAACTGTCAGTTCAAATCACATAGTGGAAGACATAGTAGAAGTATTACTGGTATGATATGATTCGAGAAGTATATTTCAGTGAGATAAATTTAGAAAGAGAAAGATAGAGGTGGTGACGAATTCAGAAGATTAGAATCTCATAGAACATAACAAGTGGATGCACCTGCGCCATTGCAAACGATTTTGAGCCATGTCGTTTAAGGTCTCTAACCATCGGTTACTATCGTTACTTTTAAGGTTTGCTCTTTTGAACTTTTATTAACACTACTAATATTTCAAATTCTTGGCGGATATAATATGCAGATTTGTGCCACACTCTTACATTATAAGTAACACCGTTTAAATTTACATGGAATACATCACCGAAAAAAAAACTAATCAAATTTCGATACAATATGCGTATAATCAATTTATATGGATTGTAAAATAAATGATCTTACCTAAACCACTTGAACAGTCAACATTGAGATTACATTCCCTTTGTTGTAATGACCCAGTCATTGGACCAGTTGGAGTAGAAGGATTGTACCATAGATTAGCTGGAGATGAATCAATACCACTTGCTAGATCATGACTAAAACCATAATAGTTAGCACTCAATGAACCAAGCTAAAACAAGAAAGAAAGAAAAGTAGTCGGTGTATGATTACTATGAGATGAATAATCATTTTACCAAACAGAGCCTAGGAGAACTACAAAACTATGATACTCATCATTTTCAGTGTAACAATCAACTGACAATCCAAGTAATCGGGATTAACAAGCTAATGAAAGCTAAGTAATAAAGTACAGGATAGAGTCTTAGGCTTACAATTATGCCTACTTCTCAATCAATCAATTAATAGCACCGCAGAACTTCGTACGTAGGTACATCACTTCAAGTTGCCATACCACATTAGCACAGAGATGTAATTGTCAATTCAAATTCCATAGTAGTAGAGGTAATAGAGGTATCAGCAGTAGTCGGAGAGGTTAGGATTAGAAGACATTAGTCAAGAAGTAGAATCTAGTGAAATAGACTTAAAAAGATAAAAATAAAGTGATGAACAATTAAAAAGTTTGGGATTTGAGAGAACACTAAGAGTGGATGCACTTGCACAATTGCAAAAGGTTTTGAGCAATATCATTCAGGGTCTCTAACCATCGATTACTAACATCTCGTAGACCACAACCAGGTAGTCTACATCTACCAACATTAATCAGTCCACTTGTCAGTGACTTCATGGATTACTGCCATGTTTTGGTCTGGCCACCCCTAGCTTTCTTCCAACCTACTCCTACACCAGTTTCCTTGATGAGTCTGAATAGTTGCCTACTGTTGCCTATCGCCGCTGCCTTTTCCATATCTCTCCCTTTCGCCACCCACCACTGTTGTCCGAGGGAAACCACCTTACTGCTGTCACACTCCTCTACAGTCAGCAGTACGACTTCTCCCTCAGACCTTCAGTAGCTGCTTTTAGTCTCATCGTTCTCCAATCGACCTGCCTGGCATGGTAGAACCTTCAGGAACATATGTTCCAGCCAATATAGCTCGGTTGGATCATCACGATAGGTAAGCCCGACCACCACGTCAAGGTAGCAGGTACGGTCGGGTATACCTACTTTTAAGGGGCAGAGTATAACCGAAATCCCCTGGATAGGAAGATAGCGGAACAAAATGGCTAAAAAAGGTCGTGTTTACATTAAAGTTTCCTCTTCAATAAACTAGTTGATTGATTAAAGAAAATTACAACCATTTTTTTTACCTTCCAACTTACTCTATAACAAAAACAGCCCATTCTAAATAATAAATTTATGGATTAAAACTAATCCCGTCTCACTAGTATACAACAATTCAATTTAGAAATAAAGCGATGATGAGTTGATATTACAGTTTGGGAGAACAAAAGAAATGGATGCACCTACACCATTGCAAACGATTTTGAGACTTCATTCAAGCACTGTAACCACCGATTACTATCATCTCGCGGACCCCAACCAGGTAGTCTACATCTACTAACATGGCTCAGTTCACTTGTCAGTGACTTCATGGATTTGTACCATGTATTGGCTTGATCACCTTTAACTTTCTTCCAGCCTGCCTCTACACCAGGCATGATCGCTCACCGAGACAGTCATTCATGGGGCATACGTAGCACATGTCTCAACCACCTCAACTGACAAACTTTCAACACTTTATCTAATGATCTGCTATCCTTACCTAGTACCCGTTAACTAACAAGAGCATTGCTTACTCGATTGTCGCAGATTATACGAGCAATACTTCGAAGACAACTATGATCAAAAACCAGTAACCTACGAATATCCTCTCTCTCCTTAGTAGCCATTTTTTGCAGCCACATAGTAGGACGGAGCGAAATGCTGTGTAGTAGACCCATCCTTTAATTAACAGACGGATATCTCACGTACGCAGGTTGGCAAAAGCCAACCAAGCCTTTTGTATCCATGCTGAGATTTCGTCATTATAGTGACGAAATCAACAAATAAATAGTAATCGATCTGAATGAATTTATAAATATCGTTAACATATGTAACATACAAAACTAATTATACAGTAATCCAGTATTCAATGGTAAGATGTACAACAGAATAAATTACGTGAATTAGGATGCAAAACAAATTCTTACTAGTTGATCTGAGCTATGTAAAACTCTAAGTTTATTGAATTTGCCTGGTTAGATTGAAAAAAAAAAGCCCTACTTGGGCATTTCAATAACATTGCTTAAAGCCACAAATGCATGGTGAGTTGCCAATTTGATATGACGACTATAGATTAGGCCTATAAGTCAAGTCTTCACTGATTGAAGACCTGTAAGCTAACATTTTATTGCTTATTTTGCGCTCATATTCTGTACATCGACATGTGACGCGAGAAAAAAACTATTCACAACTAACTAGTAATCTTGTCTTTGATTTCTAATTATTCGCGATCCTAAGTCACATCAGTAGTTATCATTTGGTCACCTTGTATCAAAGCATTCATCTATCGTTTTCAACAGTGGAAATTGCGATAAAAACTATCATTACAATTACGCTCAGATATATACACTGAACATCACAATCATTGGATTTTTACTAAATGCACATTTATACACTTATTCAAACTTACAGGTTGAGTTTCTGAATTTATATCTGTAGAAAAAAAGTAAATATATAAATACAGTGAAAAACAAAAATGAAATGCAAATCATTTGAAACGAAAATAAAAAACTACGAATTTGTATATATAAGAAATGCATATTGTAATGAGTAGTATTGTAATTTTATCATCGTTAGTTAGCGTTGGCTTACCAAGTTTCGCTTTAATCCCAGTATTCATTATCAATTTAAAGAATTAAGTAAGTGATAAATGTTAGTAAATCACACACTGAATCTGTTTAGCTAATGAATTTTATTTGATTAAAATTTTTTTGCTAATTGATTAAGAATTAGGTATTGCTTGCTGGAATTACGAAGGTATGAAGAAGGTTTTACATTTCGAAAAATGATATATTAATTCATACATATATATATATAGTGCCACATAATTACTTTCGAAGTCTCAAAAGAGTATTTCGACAATGTTCATAATTGACTATCAAACCCCAGAGGAAATCAAACGATCGAAACAAGACTGTAACTTCCTTTCATGATATGAAAAATCAAGAGTTTGATATTATACAACAGCATTGATTTGTTTTTCGAAATATCAAAGAAGACTTAGTTCCTACAAGAGATTATTCCACTGAACTGGCACTGGATATTTGGATTACGATAATGCTAATGTCAAATGTACCATGATCACCAGCTGAAACTTGGACATGGTAGGGTTTGTTTACCGAAACAATCTGGTCTTGAAGTCCATGGGATTAGATCAGTAATGAAAAATTAACTACACATAGCTACTAGATAGGTAATAAATGTGATCAGTCTATGATGACAATTTAAAGAGTTGAACCTAAAAATTTCAGTTTATGGACACTAAACATGTTTTTACATAACAAAATGTGTTTTTACACTTATAGAGTTAGGTAATATGAAAGTCAAAATATGCTGGAGTCCAGGGAAAGCAAACTTACATCTTTTTAATAGTAGGTGTAAAAAAAGCAGAATATTGGTTTACCAAGTGCAAATTCATGTACTTAGCTCCAAACCGCACTGCAAGAACTAGTGATATTACTCAGTTATTCGAACTGAAGTATGTAGAGAAAAGTTCAGAGTTGTAACTTATTGGCTAAAAGTCGAACAGGCTAATTACTAGGTCGCAGCCAAAAGAGCACCGATTTGTTAATTGGAATAGAAACTAGTATCTACTAAATAAATAATTCTATGTACTTTCAGCTTTATGCTGAATCGAAACAGTGGGTTTTATTACCTCATGGTTAGATTATACGATATTTGTTCACAGAACGGAAATCACTCACTACACCAAGAAATTAACTATGATAATATCTGGTGCAAAACGTAGGTTATGAACAAACGAATGAGAGAATTAACAAGAACTGCTCTACCATATTAAAAGAAACTATTGGTGAAGAAAATAAGATCAAATAACTTACAACTATGGCAACAATATAGAAAATAAATGATGATAAGTATATGAGAATAACTGCGTACAACATACCTGCTAAAAAAGTTCCAGGTTGAGTATCAACAATGAAAGTATTTGACAAAGGAAATAGTGGTTCAGATGAGGTGAGCTGAGATGTTAACATCACGCTTGAACTAGATTGGGTGGGTAAATTTTGGTGTAAATGATTGAACGGCAGACCAGATGCCGGGAAACGATTGGTAGGGCTGTGTGATAATGGTTGAAGCCATTGGCTGGAAGTCGAATGCATCATGTCTACATGCACATCACCAGTTTCTGATCTAATAAAAATATAATACATAAGAAAGACTGATAATGATAAAAACAGACTGCTACATACAAACCATCAAGAAACATGAGTAGAACGAATTGTAGTACTACATAGGAAACAAGAGCCCTTTTAAACTTAAAAACGACCAATTAACGTAGAACATGGCAGCGCTTGTTGCTTTATAAAATTTATCGCAAATAATTATGTGATTGGATGGTTTAATTTAGAACGAGTTCTTTTCTGAACATGACACAAAATAGGTGAATAATAGCTTTGATGATCTCGGGAGTCTCATCAGTGCTGGTGACCTCGCAAGTGCATCCATTCATTGTGCTCCCTCAAATCCTAATCTTCTGGGTTCGTCAGCACCTCTACCTTAGTCTTTCTAACTTTATCTCACTGAATTATACCTAATCTTCTCCATTACTGCTAATACTTCTACTATCGCTACCACTTGGATTTGAATTGACAGTTGCGTCTCCGTGCTAATGTGATATGGCAACATGAACTGATGTACTTACGTATGAAGTTCTACGTTGCATCTGACTGACTGAGCGAATGGCGTGAAACTGTCTAACAAGAATTAAATTGATAGAGATGCAGAAAGTTAGGGCGTTCGATTAGTTCGCGACAATTAAATTATATGTCACATGAATCCTAGTGTTTTAGGTCACTAAAAGATTGGTTACAACTTCAAACATGCAGATACATTAATCCCGTACAAAAGAACACTAGTTTAAGTTGTCACATCTTACAGTAACACAGAACAATAAAATCAATGTCAATAAAACCAAATTAGGTTGCTTTTAATATGTTTGGGATTTAGATGAAGATCAGAAGTCAGTAACAGATAAATGTAATAAATCTCTACTTCGGTCGGTCTTCGATCGGACCAATTCTATGTTTTATCAGCGACCTTAATTAAATAAGTATTTAGTCAACGCTGGTTGACTGGTGGTCATCGGCTATTTGATTTTGAGGTGAATTATCCATTCTCATGGGATACAAAATGCTGTGACTGTTCTCTACTGCTAAGTGTCCCGGTCTATAAGAAAGGACAAAAGTCCTCTTGTTACAACTACGGAGGAATCAGTTTAACAAACATAGTATATAAGATATTAGCCTCGATAATACTTCAACGCCTAACGAGGTCTCGTGAAGAGCAGACTCGAGAAAACCGCGCTGGTTTCAGACCTGGACGTAGATGAATAGACTAGATATTCACACTACGTCAGGTCCTACAACACAGACACATTCAAATGTCCGACAATAGTTGTCTTCCTGCATCTTAAAGCGACATTTGACTCTGTCGATCGTGAGGTCCTGTGGTAGTGACTGTCTATGAAAGGTGTACCAAAGAACCTCTCTAACACTACTGGTTAAGTCAGCCTATGGAGAACTGTCGTCGGAATTGACTACCTCAGGATGTGGTGTTCATCAGGATTGTTCACTCTCCGGTTCTTATTCAACTTCGTTATAGACATGCTTTTAGAGACGATGCTTTTATCTGACTTTTTAGAAGTTAAACTTTAACCGGGAGATTCACTTGTCGACTTGGAATATGCTAATGACATAGTTTTATTGGGTGACGCTGACAAAATGCAGTTTTCTGACCACCTTAAGCAACAATGCAAGTATGTTTGGCATGAGATTCTCTCCCTCGAAATGCACAATGTCGCTTCAGAATCGGCTTACATGAGCACCTGAACTAGTAATAGAGGATGAAGTAGTCTGGCTTGTTGACCGCTTGACTCATCTTAGGAGTCTCATCAGTACTGATGGCCTGGTGAATGACTGAATCTCAGCACGAATGTAAAAGGCTTGATTGGCTTTCGCCAACCTGCGTCATTTATGGCGTGTGAGAGGAATCCGTCTGCTAACGAATGAACGAGTCTACTGCGTAGCAGTTTGCTGAGTCCTACTCTACGAGTGTGAAACATGGCCACTAAGGATAGAGGAGATGCTTAGGTTACCAGTATTCGATCATAAGTGTCTTCGAAGCATTCCTTGTACATCCTTGTACTGAGTAAGTTACACTAGAGTACGAAAAGGGTACTAGGTAGGGATGGAAAATTAGTTGGTGAAGGTAGGCTGGAAGAAAGATATGGGCGGAAACTTGAACTGATGTACGTACGTCATAAGTTGTACGTTGTAGTTAATAATGCTTGATTCAGATATTTGGCTTGGATCTCAACAGTACCGAATGGAAGAACAAAACCTAAATACCCTGGAATACAGGTCAGTCAGTCAGCTGCAACGTAGAACTTCGTACGTATGTACATAAGTTCTGGTTGCCATACCATATTAGCACAGAGACAACAAGGTCGACTACCTGGTTGGGGTCCGCGAGATGATAATAATCGATGGTTAGAGACCTTGAATGACATGGCTCAAAATCGTTCGCAATGGAGCCGGTGCATTTATTCTTTGTGTTCTCTCAAATCTTAATCTTCTGTATTCTTCAACACATCTAGTTTTGACTTTCTAAACTTATCTCACTGAATCATACTTCGTGAATAATATCTTCTAATCCTAACCTCTCCGATTACTTCTAATACCTTTACTACCTCTACTACTATGGGATTTGAATTGCTGACGAATCCAGAAGATTGGGATTTGAGAGAGCACAATGAATGGATGCACTTACGCCACTGCAAACGATTCTGAGCCATGTCGTTCAAGGTCTCTAACCATTGGCGACTTTCGTCTCACGGACCCCAACCAGGTAGTCTACATCTACTAATACTACTCAGTCCACTTAACAGTGACTTCATAGATTTCTGCCATGTCTTGACCTGGCCACCCCTAGCTTTCTTTCAACCTACTCCTACACCACAAAACATAGCTCGTCGAAGCAGTCGGTGGTTAGGCTTTCGTAACACATGTCCCAACTACCTGTACTGATGAAGTTTCACCACTTCATCTATTGATCTGCCATCCTTACCTAGTACTCGTTCACCTAACGACAGCATTGCTTACTCGGTTGTCCCAGGGTATACGAGCAATGCTTATAAGACATCTATGATCGAATACTAGCAACCTACGAACACCTACTCTTAAGGGCCATGTTTCGCACCCGTATAGTTGGACGGAGCGAACTGCTGCGGTGTACATTCGTCCTTTGGTTAGCAAACGCATATCTCGCCTGCACTATAGGTGACGCAATTTGGCAAAAGCAAATAGAGCCTTCTGTATCCGTGCTGAGATTTCGTCAGTTACCAGGCTATCAGCGCTGATGAGACTGGAATACTGGATACTTAGCGGAGACCTAGTAGATAGTTATGACATAGACATTCCTTGACCATACCCTGAAATTCACTTTTAACACAAGCTCTAATCGAAACACTTTTAAGTTTGACTGTATTTATGATTTCGAACCCTTGAAATTTCCCAACATCTATAGTAATCTAACGGACTCAATGGGGACTTTTTGGCTGAAGACTTAATATTGTATTAACAACTCAAATTAGTATCTTATACTTCAGTAAAACGTTCATTTCGGTTTATCTACAAACACTTAATTTTTGCCTGGAAACTTATGTAGACTGCTGTTACTATACACAACGGCTCACAGCGAAAGCCTCTATAATGTCCATAAGTATTCATCCATTTAAAACCCACCAAAAATCAGGAACCTCCTCTTACAATAAGAGGTCTATGACCGCAAAAGGTCAACTGGCAGGCGAATTTCACATTCTACTAAAAAACACAATGACCACCATGAGTAGCAATAAGGGATAGTGGCTGGTTTCAAGTTTCCCAAATATATGTTTAGTTAATTAAATGTTAGTTAGTAACTCATTAATACTTTCATACACAAATGAATCTAATAATACCAAAAAATATATTTAAATCCAGACATCCGGCCATTAGTCATTTTTCGAAACTGTGATTCGCTAGAACGATTAATCTACTAAGCACAATACCAGGTCAGTTGCCTCACTTGCAAGTTTCAAAAGACCAAATGTGCCATCATAAGTATGGGGATAAGTTAACTAACCTACTTTGCGAAAACTAATCTTGGCTTTAGGCAAGTGACAACAAGTGCTGAACAAGTAGGTTATTGAGTGATTATTTCGAATCTAACCTAACACTTCATTGTTTATGGACGAAGTACACATTAGATGCAAAGGTAAGATGCCGAGATTTCGCTTCAACGTTTTTACCAGCACAAGGATTACACAAAATACAATCGAGTCAACCCCGGCTTCACTGCTAACCATGGAAATATGTTAACTAACTGATAGACCGCTGAAATTATTGCTTTTTAGGGATAACCTATAGGTTGCTGACTCTACTATCCGTATACTTAATGTAAATAAAAGCTATGAGACTTTTTATCATAATAAAAAAGTGCTACCGCCACATAATAAACAACAAACCTTTCAAATAAACATGCGAAATTCAAAGTCAGTAAACGCCCGCCTTTGTTCGAAACTGTTAACAGAAGCACAACACTTTAAATGTTCAGCACCCTACGCTAAAGTTCACTTTTCCGTATAAATACTATATAGAACCAACAATTTACTGCCTAAACTCGCCATTTATTTTGAAATTTTAGAATTCCTTCATCAGTCTTAAATGTAACTCCATTAGAAATAAGTTGGGAAGAATATCAACAATCAGCAGTAGAAAACTGATATGTTTATAAAGAGGCTTAAACCACCTCGGCTAGAAGAAAATTATAGGATCAAACTATTCGTAAACATTGGATGTACCTACTGTTCTTTCTGCTTTGTTATTCTTCCAGTTTCTGGGTATCATTCCGAAAGGTTTGTGATATTTTTGAGCCAAAGTACGTTATTTGAGTAGTGTTCAGGAGTTTTTAAGCGGCTATAAGTTATTAAAATATCACTTCTGAGACATCTATCTATGCCTTGATACATAAAGGTTCAGAGATTTGATATCCTCATCATAAAGTTTAAATTCTAGTCCTCGAACCGATCTCTCTGCTCACATTTGGATAAGATCCAGTTTAACCGTATTCTTTTGGAGTGGGAATAAATCCATATTATGAATTGGGTTCAGTAAAACTGTCGGAGGGTAGGTTGAACATTCCGCTGATAAACTGGCTAACAAACCCATCACAACATTTCTAGTGCATGAACTGCCGGAAAGTATTTTTGTCACACTTGGCGTAAGACATTATATCACAAGGTACCAAAACGATTAAATCTTGTTCATCCTGGGACACTCGTAGAGAGGGGCTACCTAAGTTGTATGCGTGATCGAAAGTATTTTTCAAGTAGTCATCTACATACTTCTAAATGAGTCCGTTATTACCCGACAGACTTTGAAGTCAATTTTGGTCCTACTGAAGAGCCTATTTGTCACTCCTGTTACAAACGTCCATTTAACGTTTCACATTGTCATCAACGCCAGAGAATGAAGAGATACTTTTAGAGGAAAGCAATGATTATAGACTCAAAAAAAGGTAAGAAGTTTCAGTACGAAATCTAAGGAGACTCCATTGAGTTCTGGTGGTATACTTATACAAAGGAAACACAACTGCTGAATTATAAACATTTATTATTGTACTTAATTTTGACAATAATTCTTATATTCTACATCTCTTGTTTATCTGTACCGAAGACTATCTCTCGCACACCAAGCGTGTCTTTGCCTTTCGGTCTTCTCTCCTCGTTCGCTGTTAGCCACCCCGACCGTAGCTGCTACCTTGACGTGGTGGTCGGGCTTGCCTATCGTGATGATCCAACCGAGCTATATTGGCTGGAACATATGTTCCTGCAGGTCCTACCATGCCAGGCTGGTCGATTGGAAAACGATGAGACTAGAAGCAGCTACTGAAGTTCTGAGGGCGAAGTCGTACTGCTGACTGCAGAGGGGTGTGACAGCAGTAAGATGTTTCCCTTGGACAACCAGCATCTGCAGCGATGCTTCCTTCTCACAAGGAGAGAAGGGTTAGAAAAGGTCGACCCTAAAAATGTCAAACCTCGCCCTACCTCACGGATTTGCGTCTCCGGCCGTATGGGTGCCCACTAAGGGCCTTTAAGAGCGGAGCTAATACTCAAAAAACCTTTCATAAAAAGGCCGTGAGTGACCGGCCTGAAGCAGTTGTCCCTTGGACTCTGCGGTCACGCTCCCAGGTCTCCAAGACCAACACTAATTTATCTTCCTTTTCAGGTTCCCCAAGAAATAACCTTCCACGGTGTGGGCAGCCGAGAAGTGATAACCGCCCTCATACCCGTAACATCACGAGAGACCAAATTGGTCGAAATCAAATCCTTCCTACACCCCCTAATGTCTCTCTTATCTCTACGACTAACTCTACTCACACTCCCTTTTCTCACTGCACCGCTAATGCAGACGAAGTGAGATCACGAAACGTCATTCCTGGTCTCCTTAAACCCCGCTCTAGACTACATGTTGGAGCATTTAATGTATGGACATTGTGTCAAATAGGGCAACAGGTACCATTAGCTAGGACTTTAGAATCTCGTGCCATCGATGTATGCTGCGTCTCGGAAACGCGCATACAGGATCCTAGTAAAATTATTAATCTGATTTCATCTTGTCAAAATAAAGAAGCAGCTCGATTCACTCTTCGTGTATCCGGTAGCCCTGATACTGCTTCCAGAGGTCTTGCTGGCGTAGGCATAGCATTGAGTGGTAGAGCTGTACAATCTCTCCTAGACTGAATCCCTGTAGATAGTCGCTTGTGCGCTGTCCGACTAAACGGGACAGTAAGGACTCGTAAGGATAGGGACACTCGCCGTTGCCTCTTCGTCATATCTGCCTATGCCCCCACTGACTGCACTGCAGACGAGGTTAAAGATGAGTTTTACAGAAAGCTTTCGGACCTCCTTCAAAAAGCTAGGCGCTCTGATATAGTAATAATGGCTGGTGACTTCAATGCTCAAGTAGGTAGACTGAGTGAAAATGAAAGACATCTAGGTGGATGTTATGGTGTCGTGGCTCAGAGAACAGACAATGGTGACCGTCTGTTGCAAGTATGCTCAGACAACCGCCTATTCTTAGCAAACACTAACTTTAGGCATAAGGAAAAGCATCTGATGACCCGGCGACCTCCAAAGTCGTCCCTACGTTGGACCCAAATAAATCACATTGCCATCAGCCACCAATGGAGGGGTTCAATAGAGGACTGTTGCTCGTTGTGGGGCACATGTTTAGATTCAGATCACGCCCTAGTGCGAGCACGTATTTGTTCGACGCTTACTGGGCGTAGGAAAGACACCGTAAGAAAGCCTCTTAGGGTTTTACTTAATGATAATAGGGCGAAGAATATATTTCAGGAACAACTAGAAAGACAGTTAGTCGACCACATGAGCGATTCCCATCCGGAGGCAGGTTGGAATGATATCAAAAAGGCTGTGGAAACAGCAGTGATATCTGCTAGTAAGGTAAACCATAAGGCTACAATGAAGCCGTGGATCTCAGTAGCGTCCACCGATCTGATGGATGCCCGAAAACGCATCCCACCTGACTCTGAACATGATGAAGAACGAAGTCAGCTTAAGCGAAGGCTGATAAAAAAGCCTGCGCAACGACCGCGAACAGTGGTGGGTGGCGAAAGCAAAAGTGATGGAAAAGGCAGCGGCGATCGGCAACAGTAGACAACTTTTCCGACTTATCAAGGAAACTGGTATTAGGAATCCTAGTGTAAGTGAGACTATCTCGGAAAAGGATGGAACTTTTTATTATTCTCAATCCAGGAGACTGGATCGATGGGCAGAACACTTTAGGGATCAGTTCAACTGGCCTCCAGCCACTCTTTGGTTACCCACGATCTCCAGTCATCCTGAATGGCAAGTAGACGTAATTCCGCCTAGTCTTAATGAAGTTGAAAAAGCGTTAGGAAATCTGGAGCGAAGGCGAGCTGCAGGTCCTGATAGACTGACCCCTGAGATATTTAAGGATGATGGTTCAGTTTTAGCAGCTAGGTTGACCGAGATCTTAGGTAGAATCTGGGAACTGGACGTAATCCCATCCGACTGGTCTCAATCCTTGATTGTCCCAATCTATAAGAAAGGACAAAAGTCTTCTTGTGACAATCACAGGGGAATAAGTCTAACTAATATAGTTTCTTAAATATTGGCCTCAATAATACTTCGACGCTTAACGAAAGCTCGTGAAGAGCAGACTCGAGAAAACCAGTCTGGTTTTCGACCTGGACGTGGATGTATAGACCACATCTTCACACTCAGACAGGTCCTGGAACATAGACACACATTTAGGCGTCCTACAATAGTTGTTTTCCTGGACCTAAAAGCGGCGTTCAACTCAGTGGATCGTGAGGTTCTGTGGCAGTGTCTGTCATTGAAAGGTGTACCGAATAAGTACATTAACCTCATACAAGCTCTCTACTCGAACACCACTGGTCGAGTGAGAGCTAATGGCGAATTGTCACCGGAATTCTTTACTTAAAGTGGTGTCCGTCAGAGATGTCCACTTTCTCCATTCTTGTTCAATTTTATCATAGACATGCTCCTAGAAATAACCGTATCCTCGTCCGAATTTTCAGGAGTAGAACTTCTACCAGGTGGCTCGCTGATTGACTTAGAATATGCCGATGACATTGTCCTACTTGGTGAAGATGCTGACAAAATGCAGAGTCTTCTGACTACCCTAAGCAACAATGCAAGCATGTTCGGGATGCGGTTCTCACCCTCGAAATGCAAAATGTTGCTTCAAGATTGGGTTGCATCGGCATCTGAACTGGTGATAGGGAGTGAAATAGTCGAGCGTGTTGATCGCTTCACTTATCTTGGGAGTCTCATCAGTGCCGATGGCCTGGTGACTGACGAAATCTCAACTCGGATACAGAAGGCTCGATTGGCTTTTGCCAACCTGCGTCACTTATGGCGTAGACGTGATATCCGTTTGCTGACTAGAGGACGAGTGTACTGCGCAGTAGTTCGCTCCGTCTTACTTTATGGCTGTGAAATATGTACAGTGAGAGTAGAAGATATTCGTCAGTTACTGGTTTTCGATCATAGGTGTCTTCGAAGAATTACTCGTATATCGTGGGACACCCGAGTGAGCAACGCTGTTATTAGGAAACGGGTGCTAGGTAAGAATGGTAGATCAATCGATGAAGTGGCGAAACTTCATCAGTTGAGGTGGTTGGGACATGTGTTGCGTATGCCCAACCACTGACTGCCCCGACGAGCTATGTTTTGTGGTGTAGGAATAGGTTGGAAGAAAGCTAGGGCGGCCAAATCAAAACATGGCAGAAATCCATGAAGTCATTGACTAGTGGACTGAGCCATGTTGGTAATTGTCGACTACCTGGTTGGGGTCCGCGAGATGATAATAATCGATGGTTAGCGACCTTGAATGACATGGCTCAAAATCGTTCGCAATGGCGCCGGTGCATTTATTCTTTGTGTTCTCTCAAATCCTAATCTTCTGTATTCTTCAACACATCTAGTTTTGACTTTCTAA